AAAAAAATCTCCAAAAAAAAAAAAAAAAACTGCATTGCACATGGTGGTGAGCATAGGTATTCTTATCCTGGTTTTTTTTTTTAATAATTATTTAACTTTATTTACTTATTTACTTATTTATTTTAATTTGATCAGAGAGGGATAGAAAGAGAGGGAAAGTGAGAAAGCAAGCCGCCAGGTCTGAGACTCAAACCACGGTCTGCCATGTGGGAGTCCAGCACCTTTAACCTCCATGCCACCTGCCAGCCCCCTTATCCTGGTTTTAGCAGTCTGCTTTTTGCTACTGAATATTATGAAAGTCTTGGGTTTAATATGGACATTCCTGATTAGGCTAAGTAAATTTTCAACTCTGGACTGCTGAGTCTTTACATGGTAAGTAGGCATTAATCTGATCACGCCTAGGCATGCCTGCTGACAGCTGCAGCGTAGCCGCCCACTCATGTACTGCCAGGGCCATCGTGCACATGGCCTTGGGGTGTGTTGAGCTCTCCTGTCCAAGCCATCGCCCTGCCTGTTTCAGCTGTGCTCTCACTGAGTTTGTGGCTGTGCCCAGCACGAGGAGCCCTGGTTCCAGTTCAGACCCCTCAGGGCCTGGATGGGCCTCAGCAGGGCTGACCCTGTGTGGACAAGGTGGACTTGGGCGGTGGCAAAGAGCATGGCATTGTGGCAGAAGCCAGGGCTTGGGAGGTTCTTGGAGACTGAAGGGTAAGACCTGCATATATTTTTTTAAAGAATTTATTTATTTATTTACTTATTTATTTGGGGGGGGTTTGCTATAGGGCGTGTGTGCTCGCCAGATAGAGGGAGATAGACAGAAAGCAAGACGTCACCCCCCGGGGGGATGGCCACGCTGCAGTCTTTTCTCCTCCATTCTCCTCTCGGGATCTTGGGCACGCACACACACACGCACCCGGCGTGAGTTGAGTTTTAAGCCACCGGGTCCAGGACGTGAACCGCAGTCGACTACATGGGAGCCCAGCAACATAGCCATTACGCCAACTGGTGGTCCCCATTCATTTAGTTATTTTAATTTGACCAGAGAAAGAGAGAGCGAGGGGAAGTGAGAAAGCAAGCCACCAGGTCTGGGACTTGAACTGTGGTGGGCCATGTGGGAGTGTCCAGAGCCTTAACCATCACACCACCTGCTGTTTCCGAAGACCCAAACTCTTAGATGTCAGGGAGAGAAGGGAACCAGCAGTTAGCGTAATGGCTATGCCGCTGGACTCCCACGTGGTTGACCACGGTTCGCGTCCCGGACCCAGTGGCTTAAAACTCACGCCGGGTGCGTGTGCGTGCGTGCCCAAGATCCCGAGAGGAGAATGGAGGAGAAGGGATTGCAGCGTGACCATCCCCCATGGGGGGTGATTTCTTGCTTTCTGTCTGTCTGTCTGTCTCTGTCTGTCTGGTGAGCGCACGTGCCCTATAGCGAAAACCTCTCCCAAAAAAAAAAAAAAAAAAAAGAGAGATCTCAGGGAGAGGTAGGTTATTTTAGGCATACTGTTGGAAGTTGTCTTTGCATTTTGCTGTGTTTCAGCTCCTCCCCTCCTGGCGTGTTCCTCGAGAAGGAGTATGAGCTCTACCGGGATTACGGTGCGGACGGTCAGCTCCTTCACTACAGGTAGTGCCCGCCTGTCTGCCCATCAGAGCTCTCCCTGGGGGTCAGTGCTGTGTGGCCTGGAGAGATAGGCTCTGCAGGAAGCAGCTGGGTGAAAGGCACCAGGTGGCCCACACTGCATTGGCAGCTGGAGCTGGGCTGCACCTGGGTCTCTGGCAGGCAGCAGTCCTTGGCTCTGCGCACGCTCAAGCACCCCGCAGGGCTCAGTGTCAGACGTGAAAGGGCTTTGGCTGACCTTGCCCTGGGTTGGCCTCGCAGGCATCGGCAGGTTTGGAGACCTCCCTTAGGGCCAGGGTCTTCATGCTGGATGGGTGGCACCCCCTGGGCTGACTGGCATGATTCTTCCCAGGGTGGAGCTCAGGGCAGGGCAGAGTGCTGCCCTGTGCTGGGCTCACGGATACACCCAGCATGGCCCTCCCTGGGGCCGCATTGGTGTGGGGGGCATCATGAGGCCGAGGGCACTTTGGCAGTTTGCTCGGTCAGGCAAACGTCTGGAGTGTAGACATGGGAACTGAGTTTGAGTTTGTGAAGCCAGGGAGTGTAGACATGGGAACTGGGTTTGAGCTTGTGAAGCCAGTGCAGGGAAGGGAGTCTGCCCGTCCTGGTCCCGACGGCACGGCTGTGTGGACGAGGTCAGCCCGTCGCGCCACGCTGGCTCTGCCACTGTCGGCCGCCCAGTGTGCGACGCCCTCACAGCACGTCCCGTTCTGCTCTGATTGCCCTTCCCAGGGCTTCCTGCCGCAGAGCGCTGATGGCCAGGGCACCTGTGTCCTCTCAGTGGCTACCTGGTGGCCGAGCATTACCGTGGCCTGCCAGCCCCATGCCACCATCCCTCACACCCAGGACCTGGTCTCTGCACCAAGCTCACACATGGGACTTTGTGACAGGGCTCTCGGCTGGAAAGCCATGCTGTGTGGCCTGCTCACATGGGGACCAGTCAGGTGCTCTGCTAGGCCTCACAGCCACCCCTGGAGCCCTGTCATTGTGACCCTGAGAGAGGCAGGGTCACTGGGGGGTGAGGCAGGGACTCCATGGGTGCCCTGGTGCGTGGACTGGGACGGCGTGGGCAGTCCAGCCTGGCCTGAGGTGTCCTCAGTGCCCTTGGAGCCCTGTGCCCAGCAGAGGCAGGTCACAGTTGCCAGGCCACGAGCCGCCATTTGACATCCTGTGTCCCATGAGCCAGGGCTTCTGGGCAGAGGCCCACGTTAGAGGTGACAGAGGACGGCGTCCCCCGGGGAGGCTGGTGTGCCCTGTGGAGCTCCCTGGGTGCGCGAGTTGCTGTGCTGTGAAAGCGAGGGATGGCTGTGCCAGACCTGAGTCCTGCAGGCAGGCAGCTCGTGTCCCCAGTGCATGCCCACTTTCTTTCGCCAGTTATCCTCCCTGTGTCACCGGGATGGCAAGAAATCAGTCATCATGAATTGGCCAAGCCCCAAGGGGCAGGTGCAGTGCTGCACACCACTCCCGGTTCTCCTGCTGGAGAGACAGGACTCGGCAGCAGGGCACCAGCCCTCTGGGTAGGCAGAGACTACTAGAACAGAGCTGCACGTGGCGTGGCCCGAGCTACGCACTACCCAGGCCACCGCGGTCCACTCTTCGGCTCTCTTGGTGCCGGCCTTCCCGATCCCCAGGGTGCACGCGTGCTCTGGGTTCTGGCAGGGGCTGTGGGAGCACCTCTGGGGAGGAGGGCAATGGCGTGGCAGTCGGCTGCCCCTGGGGACAGTGCAGGGGTCAGAGGTGAGAGGCCAAGGCCCAGGGTCCTAGCCTCAGCGTCTACCAAGCAAGAGCAAGGGCAGGGCTGGGCTCCCTCTGGGTGGCCCAGGGAGGGTGCAGGCACACTCAGGCAGAGGTGGGGGGTGGCGGGGCACAAGCACAGCAGGGCGAGACACCAGCAGCACCAAGGCTGGGCGGACAGGTCTGCAAGGGACCAGTGCCCAGGCTGCCTGCACGGAGCTGCCTGCAGGACAGAACTCAGACAGCCAGGGACGGGGGCTGCTGCAGCCTGGCGGGAGCACATGGGCAGGAGGTCGCTGCGGCCTGGGGACCGATGACTAAATCCTGTTCACACCTGATTTCAGGCTGCTGCTTCCTTTTCTGGGCGGCACAGCCAGGTTGGCACCCAGAGCTCGGCCCTCCTTGAAGCCCGACGGCTGCCAGGGCACTCCGCTGAGGCAGGTGCAGGGAGGGCGTGGTCCTGCAGCACCAGCCACTGCGTCATGCAGCTTCCGTGAGCCCCTCCTTGAACACTGGCCCTGGGAGGAGGCCGCAGCCAGGAGCTGGCCCAAGCCCCGCCCACGCCTCAGCGTTGCAGCACCAGCCTTTTGCACGGTGGTCCTGCTCCTCGTGGTTGCAGGGTCCTGACCCATCAGGGACAGTCGGTCTCTGTCTGACATAGAGGTGGGGAGGTGGTCCTTCAGGGCCAGTGTCCTCACCCTGCAGAGGGCAGGGGTGCAGCAAGTGGGACAATCTCCCCACGGGTGAGGAGGCCAGGCCAGGTAGAAAGGCAGAGGGGCCAGGAGCAGGGGAGGCAGGGCAGGCTTGGGGGCCTGGCCTGAGTCAGTCGGCAGAGCCTGGAAGCGGTGTGAGGCTTATGGAGCTGAGCAGGGCAGAGCAGTGGGCTTGTGGGGCGTGGTTTCAGGAGCTGTCCCTGGGGCTGAGGCCCTCAGGCAGGGACACAGTGACCAACACAAAGCCATCCCCACTGGGTTGCACTCTGTCTGTACCACCAAGGGGGTCCTGAGGCTCCCTGTGACTTTGGGGATCGAATTCTACCCCCCAGGGGCTGTCAGCCCAGCCCTTGGTCAGAGGGAGCCTCGTTCTTCCCATCTCAGCCCTGGAGAGGGCCCACCCCCATCAGCAGGCCTTCTGAGTGCTCTCACCCTCGTTCAGCAGCTCGGCCCCACCCACCCCATGTGCTGGCCCTGCGCTGTGTGCTCCAGGGCATGGCTGAGCCAGTGCTGCCGTGGGCCTTAGGGCTTGCGCCTGCAGGGGAGGGAGGCTGTAAAGGGGCTGTCACACGGGGGTGGAGTCTGCCCCTGCTCCACAGGACCTTGGTAGGCCAGGCCAGGAACGGGCTCCGTCACTACTGGACAGGTGGGTGCAGGATGAGTGCAAGGTGCCCGCAAGGCCATGGCTCTCGGGTGGAGGAACTGCCCAGTGTCTGGTGTTGGGCAGTGCTGAGGATGGACAGCCCTGTGGAGGGGAGGGCAGGGGTGCGGGACAGCCACCACAGTGCCGCCTGTCCCCCTTAGAGCGCGGGTCATGGCTGCCCAGTGACCCGTGCGCCCACCCACAGGACCTCCTCACTGCGGTGGAACTCGGGCACCAAGGAGCGCATGCTCATCAAAGTGGCCGACCGTGAGCCCGGCTTCCTCACCCCCCAGGGCAATGGCTATGCGGCAGATAGCCAGCCTGGGGGCCGCACCCGGCGCCCCTCAGGCAGCCAACACTCACCCAGCCCGCAGACCTTCGTCCCTGACAACGAGGGCTCCGTCTTCTTCCCCGAGAGGAGGCCATCGCCCTTCCTGAAGAGGGCCGAGCACCCTGGGAGCTGCTCCCCGCTGCTGGCCCAGCCCCGGAAGCCCTCCAGTGACTCGCAGCCCTCCTCCCCACGCTACGGCTACGAGCCCCCACTCTACGAGGAGCCCCCCGTGGAGTACCAGGCCCCCATCTACGACGAGCCTCCCATGGACGTGCAGTACGAGGCCAGTGGGGGCCACCAGGCAGGCTCCCCGCAGAGGTGGCCAGGCCGCCAGCCGCGCTCCCTGCCACCGTCCAGGCAGGCCCCACCCTCGCCCGGCCCGCTGGTGCTCACCAGGCAGCGGTGCCCCGAGCGCTTCCTAAGCCTGGAGTACAGCCCAGCAGGCAAGGAGTACGTGAGGCAGCTGGTGTATGTGGAGCAGGCAGGCTCCAGCCCCAAGCTGCGCGCTGGCCCCCGGCACAAGTACGCCCCCAACCCAGGGGGCGGCTCCTACTCCCTGCAGCCCAGCCCCTGCCTGCTGAGGGACCAGCGCCTGGGGGTCCGGTCCGGGGACTACAGCACCATGGAAGGGCCTGAGCTGCGGCACGGCCCCCCGCCCACGCCGCTGCCCCAAGCCCAGGAGGATGCCATGTCGTGGTCCAGTCAGCAGGACACCCTGTCTTCCACGGGCTACTCCCCAGGCACGCGCAAGAGGAAGAGCAGGAAGCCCTCTCTGTGCCCGGCCCCCACTGACAGCCCTGGGGACCTGCTGGCGGAGCAGCCCCTGGCCGAGGAGCGGGCCCCCTGTGGCCCTAGCCTGGCCCCCAGCAAGCGGGCAGAGGGCGAGGTGGAGGGCTCACGGGGCATGGCCGAACCTCTTCTGGCACAGGCACGGCTGGCCTGGGAGGCGCAGCAGGCCCACTTCCACATGCGGCAGAGGAGCAGCTGGGACGCCCAGCAGGACGGCTCCGGCTACGAGAGTGACGGTGCCCTGCCGCCTCCCATGCCCGGGCCGGCGGTGCGCGCCTTCCGGGAGGATGAGGCCCT